CGGATCGCCGTGACCTCATTGATTATGGCCAGTGCTCGCAGCGCTACTTTTTCTCAAATTCCTCAACAAATGACTGGCTTTATTTCTCTTCATGGAAGCCAGGTTTTCCGTCTTACAAAGCCAATCAAATTTTAATAGATCGCACACAGTCAAGAAGGGCGAAATTGCTTCTTCTCAGTTTTGTGTTGCTTGCGAATCAATATCTACTTACTGTTTTAACGCTTTACAAAGTAGGTATTGGTGTGCGCGTGATAGAGTTATACATTAACCCTCACGTGCACACACAGACCCATGCATTACACACGTACAGTTGGACGGCAGCGCACGCACAAACACACCTAAGATAAAGGCACACACACACGCATATACACACACGCGCGCGCGCACACACACACACGCGCACACACACACACACAAACACACACACACACACACACACACACACATACAATGCACACAGAAGCGAACGCACAGAGAGAGAGAAAAAAGGTAAGCCGATGAGAAATAACGATCTGTGGCCCATTTTTCGTTCAACGCAAACAAAGCTTACACTCAGTGCACACTGCAGGAAACTTCCTCAAACCCCTGATTGACAGATATACAGTGTTTGATACAGTTGACAGACAGACAGTGTTTGACACAGTTGACAGACAGACAGTGTTAGACACAGTTGACAGATTGACAGAGTTTGACACAGTTGACAGATTGGCAGAGTTTGACACAGTTGACAGACTGACAGAGTTTGACACAGTTGACAGACAGACAGTGTTTGACACAGTTGGTAAGACCCCCCCCCCCCCCCCCCTTCCCGCTCTGGAAAAGCAAAAGCCATCTTTTTGGCGCAATTTCATCAAATCCTCCCAAATCAAACATGCTTTATTTTGGGGGTCAAGATCGGGAACACTTGACAACAACTGTGGCCAACAATCAATCACAATAGGCTATTGCACGTCACGTGACTCAAGAGGGGGGGGGGGATCTTGTTTTGCTTTAGTTTAGTTTTATTTGTTTTGTTTTGTTTTTAGCTTTTGGAGGGGTCACATCTTTTGTTTGCGCAAGGACTGTGGTAGGCTCTAATGGACTGTGGTAGGCTCTACTGGACTGTGGTAGGCTCTACTGGACTGTGGTAGGCTCTAATGGACTGTGGTAGGCTCTACTGGACTGTGGTAGACTCTAATGGACTGTGGTAGGCTCTATTGGGCTGTGGTAGGCTCTAATGGACTGTGGTAGGCTCTATTGGACTGTGGTAGGCTCTAATGGACTGTGGTAGGCTCTATTGGACTGTGGTAGGCTCTAATGGACTGTGGTAGGCTCTAATGGATTGTGGTAGGCTCTACTGGACTGTGGTAGGCTCTAATGGACTGTGGTAGGCTCTAATGGACTGTGGTAGGCTCTAATGGACTGTGGTAGGCTCTAATGGACTG